CACACACACACACACACACACACACACACACACACACACACACACACCTGCAGTGTTGTCTGTGGCCCTGAGAGTGAACATGGCCTCTGGATCTAATCTCAGTAGTTGACAGAATTGCTGTACGTCCTCTGGAGTGTTACATGGACGCATCATCACCACATCACCAGCAGCAAACCTACACAGCAATACCACAACGAATGCTCAGTGCGGTGGTTGATGATACTATAACTACAGTTACAGATGGGCTGTAGGGCCATCAATATCCAGCAAACAAAAGAAGTTGAACATGTTGGATTTAGCATTAATATTATCATTCATGTCCAAACACTTGGTTGTTATGTCAGAACCCATATCTCTGTGTGTGTGTGAGAGAGAGGCCGGACTTTGAATTAGAAATACATTCCTCATGTACATGTCCAAAATATGAAGACAAAAGAATAAAATATTTTCCAAATACATTTCCATTTTGGAAAAGCTATACCCGGCTTCAATGACTGTATAATTGATCTAATACATGTATTAAAGCATACTTTATGTTTAACATGTATCCACATATTACTATATTGAGGGACATGTACAGTACATGTTTATTATCTTCATTGATGTCATAGTTATACTAATAACAACTTTAACACAAAACAAGCACAAGCTTATCATCCAAAATGCTGACATCTGAAGAGCACATTTTGAAAATCTGTACAAAGACATCCAATTAAATCTAATGAATTAATGTCAATGTATTGTGAAAGAAAAACTCCAAACATTCGAAACAATTAAAGACAACAAACCCCTTGATTTCCCAACTACGTGGAAGAATTGAGCACACAGACACGATCTCTCCGCTAAGGGAAGCTTGCGGCCCAGACAAAACTAACAACTAAATCTCAAATGCAGCATCGTATTGCAGTCAGGATGTTTTCCTGACATCTGGTGCAACAGTGTTATCTCCTCCATTCATAAGAGTGGGGACAAATCAGACCATGGTATCAGCAGTGTCAAGGTCAAACATTCGGTTGTATTCTGAATAAAAGAATACTAGATTTCCTTCATGAACACTTCATCTTCAGAAGAAATACAATTGGTTTCCTCCCAAAACACCGACCATGTACAGTATATAGCCTTCACACGTTCATTATCAAACACGTACACCAAACATACAAGGATGAAAGACATTCACTTGTTTCATTGATTCTAAGAAAGCGTTGACTCTATTTGGCGTGAAAGAGTCTATTACAGTCTTCTTCAGTGTGATATGGGAGACAACATGTCTGATCTGGTGAAATCAATGCATTCAGAAAATACATGTGCTGTTGAAATAGAGAGAAACAAAGTGAATTGTCACCCAGAGAAGAGGTGTTGGTCAGGCTGACTTTAATCATGTGGATATAAATGAAGTGTTGAGTTCTCTCCCTCCTCGATAGAGAGGTGTCTGTTTTATGCTGATGACCTGCTTCTGTCTCCTACTGAACAAGGACTACAGTACTACAACAACAGCTGGACAGAGTAGAAAGTTTGATGATGAATTGTCAGAATAAAAGCAGAGACAGATCCTCAGAACAGGCTCAGTGACCACAGGGATGCACTTCCTCCAAAAAGGAAAAATATCAAATTTGAAAAACATTGAATGAAATAAGGAACATTTATTTTGGCAAATTGATCTCTGTAATCCCAGATTTCAAAGAGTTTAATGAGCTCTCAAAAATAAAAGGAGACAAGGCAGATCTAGCAGCCCAATATGTATCAACGTGCCACAACCTGAGCACACGCACACCCAAGAGAAACTCAAGGTACTTACTCAATACTGGATCCTGTGACGTCAAACTCGATGTGCCTCACATCCTGAAAGTGTGACATGTCCGTTACTCTCCTATTGGACACTAGTCTGGCAGGAAAGGGATGGGACTGGGAGGGGGCTGTCTGTTCTGTGGGAATCCTCTGCCTGTCATCCGTCTTCTCTTCTACATCATCCAGGAAGTGGAAAGTGTATGTTGGAGGGAGCCTTCCAAAACAGGTAAGCAAAAAAAACACTGACTAGGATCCAACCCAAAACCCAAATAGGAGTTAATAAAAGGCTTGAAGGAGACAAAAAAATACCTATAACATAACTACAAAATGATACTCACGGTTCATCTTCCCTCAGTGGAATCACGTCAGCCAAAGATGGGTACAGAGAAAACACTTTCTCCCAAAAGGATGTGAGCCACGGGTCAATCACAGCATCTGACCTGGTTCAAAGATTTTGAGGTAAGCAAAGGTAGCGTCCACGCTTCCATTCCAGCTGGCAACGTTCGTAACATTCCCCCTTTTCCCCCACTGTTCCAGACTCACTCCATTTGCTGATAAATTGATAAATTGAAGATATTCTAGGCTGAAAATTCAAATGTGCTTTCCTATACTGGAGGGATTTGACTGATTTAGGGGCTGGCCAGATAGTTAGTTAGATAGCTAGCTGGCTAATTGGACCATGAATTCATGCTAATGTTACGGAACATGAAAAGGTGGTGAAGAAAGCTGGCTCAGGTCAGCCATTAGCAAAGTTAAATTACAATAGCCGTGTTTCAACCAGCAGAAGGCTGTCCCTATGCCATTTATCTATCAAGATTATTTTCTTTCCTAATTAATGAGGTATGCCATGATCCAGACATGTTTCTTACCCCAGGTCGTGTTGGTCATCTGCCAGCCCAACAGGCAGCAGCATACCGGCACCCAGCTGCAGAAGGCGCTTATGAAGCTTCTTGGCCACAAAATTGAACCTACGGGTGAATGTGGTTGACCATGAGTCATTGTGAATGTGTACTGTGAGAACTGTAAACCTGAAATACTGACTTCGGATAGGAGGAGTCCCCCAGGCCCAGTATAGCGCAGTCCAAGCGACTCAGAGAGCCAACGGGCAAAGACTTCTTAAAGACAAACCTCCAGAAGACCTGTGAAGAAAGTGGAGATGGACAGTAGAACATAAGTGAATGCATTTGTCTGGATTTTGACTAATGTAATAGGTCTGGTATAAAAGAAGATCAGAACTAAACTATTGATACAAGATATTTGAAATTGAAAGCATATTCACTCGTCAGGTCAATAGGCAAGCACGTCCATGTTCACCTGCATCTTGTGATTGTTCATCCCCGTTATAGAAACAATTTAAACTAAATGAATCTTACTATACGCCTTTTTGTGCCCTTTTATTACCGTCATATTGTCTGGAGGGTCTCCTTGGCCCGTGGTGGAGCACACAAAAACCACCAGAGACTCTGAGATCAAGTTGGCCTGTTAGATGAGAGGAAACACTCGTGAGGGCACAGTGTTTTCATGTGATTCATGTAGGCTGTAACAAACATCACAGACCACTGCAGGGATCTGGTGCTGTGACTAGAACAGGTCCGAGCAGTAATACATTCCCCATCATTGCCATTCTCATTACCGACACACTCACCACGTTATAGTTATCCAGAGGCAACACTCGAACCTGCAGTTGCCTTCTCTGCGCCTGTCGTGCAATCCTCTGGGCCGTGTCCTGGGCCGTACCAGTCTGGCTTCCATACAGGACCAGCAGACTGGGCTTTGACATGATGACTGAGACACACAAAGTCACAAAATGCTCTGGAATTTTAGAAGAATGTGGACTTGGAATAGTAAAACGAAAACTGGAAATGCGCTAAACAAATGAAACATAAAGAGCCTGAGGTGGAACACGCAAGAGGAGAACGTAGGTGCTAGTGCAAACAAATAAATAATTAGATATATTACACACAGAGTGGTCTGCATTTCTAAAGGTCACAAATCATAGGGAAACCAACTGAAGTGTGAATAGTCCATAATAATCTATTATTGCATTTTTGTAATCTAAAAAGACTCATCCATCAATAACAAATGAATTGTCAAAAGACATTAGCACTGCACGAGTATGTGCCGTGTCTTCTAGCTGACTCATAACCAATACACGTCTCCCGACATATAATGGTTGCATGTTTTCACTGTTTCTTCTTGGTTAGCCCGTGAGGAACAAACGCCAATAATCTAATAACCTAATACCAATCTTGAATTGGTATGTATAGACCTTTCGACTGTATGCACTTCTCTTACACATCCATGGGCTACACGTTCTCATATATCTGCCATTTCCTACCGTAATTCACGACATTATTTAAGTCAATGTTACTGTCATGCTCCCTGTACTTCACATTACATGACTGAGTGGCTAACGTTCGTTGCTAGCAGGCTATTTAACGCTAGCTGGCGAGGAAATATGGTCAATTATTTTTGTCAGTATTTATATTTTTCCTCTATAAATCACATATATCTTCAAATACTAAAGAACCACGATACTTACCGCTGCTGTCTTCGGCACCAATAGCCTTAAACGCTAATAAAATGAACAAATACCTCCACTAGGTAAGGCATGTAGCTCCTCATTCTAAACACCAACGCTTCACTTTACGGCAAGTTGTGATTGGCTCGTGCATTGATGCTACATTTAAAGCCGCACAGAGAAAATCAGAGATTCGTATTTTCTACATCCCTTTACGGACATCCACCGTCAATGAATGCACATTGGAGAATATTGCTTTAAGGGCTTTCTGCCAGAAAGGGTTTATTTGAGCCCAAATCAGGATTTGTTCCTAAACCTAACCAAGAACAAGTTTGGACTGGAGAGGGGTTCACAAGCCTTGACCTCTCTCCTGAAGATATGTGAATGAAAATGGGTTCTATGGTACCCACGACTCTCCCCACTTTATGAGAACCCCATGCATCTATTTGCATGCCGTATAAATGTGTTATTTTCTAATATTCTAGAAATGGTGTATTTTAATATTTCTGCATAGTGGGGTCCCGAAACAGTCTTGAATTGCAAACACTGGGTATGACTAGAAAGCGAAGACTCATGGATCCAATGAGTGTGTGATAAACCATTTCATTGTAGTGAGATCATTTTTTTAAAACTTCACTGTATAAAATGACATGTTTCAACCTCTATGTAATCATAGTCTCACAAAACTTTATAACCACAGGCTGGAGAACGAAGGTATTCAGAGGATTTTATCTTGACAACAAGGGTGTTTCTGAGCAGTTTCCACAACAGAAGTAAGTGCCATCCAATCGCTGAAAATGCAATTCTTTCAGAAATCTACAAATGTCAAAAGTTTTTGATACCAAATCACAGCAAGGATTTTTCTGTGGTGTTCCTTAAGGTCTTGCTGTCTTATCGTGTTGCACAGGAAGGTCACGCTAAGCCACTGTATGAAATTGACCACTGTAAAGATGAATGGGAAAACCTATTGGCCCTGATACTGGCAGTACTCAGACCTTTGTGCACTGACAATATGTACCAGCTAATGTTATCTGCACTTGTGAGACCGTTGTCATTTGCTGTATGCATGGTGATGAGAAGCCTTATCCTACTGCTGACTTTAAATTGAAGTGCAAGGACAGACTTGTCTGTTAGATATTGGCTCGTCTGATAATTTCCTGTCTCAGTGGTTTTTGGGTCAGGATCTGCCCATCCTCTTTGATTTGCTAAACCCAGCACAAAGCTGTCATATTGCTGTAAGCAGACGAGCATTCTCCAACCCTCAGCTTCCAGCTTGATATTGATGTTTACAGCACCACCTGAGAGGAGCACTTGGGACACCTGAAGAAAGCGTCCTGGAGCGCCTTCACTCAGCAGGCCTGATGATCAATCCAGCCAAATGTGTCTTTGCTAGAACTAAAGCTGAGTACCTTGTGTTCACCATTGAAGGTGGGGATATTGAACCAGAAGTTCATAAGAATCATGTTCTCTCCCACAATTTGTGAAGCAGCTCAGATCCTTTCTTTGGATGGCTGGCTTCTACTATCGGTTCACACCAAACTGTTCAGTCATGGCTGCTCCACAGACTGACATGACCAGCCTGCGATGCCCCAACCCCAGCAGCTCCAGCAGACATCCTGAGTAAGAACCCAATTTCTCCACTGTCCAGATTTGAATGACAATTTTATCTTGCACACTAATTCCTCTGAGCTGTGCTTCTGCATGGACCCCCAGAGTTCCGGCATCAGGTTGCCTACATCAGCTATTCCCCAGGGAGGTCCGCTAATGGACAGTGTAAAAGGAACCCTTGACAATTAAGTAGGTGCTGGGAAGAAGCCCTTATGCACACACGCATTCAAAAAATAAACACATAGCTTGTGTTTCATATATCACATTCATTGTTTATTTGGTATAGGGACTACCTTAGTTTCTACTAGTAATGCAAATAAAATAGTTAAGTTACAACCTCAAAGATCTCTGTTTTCTTAAGCAGTAATTACAAGTGTTACAATGTGTTTAGATCGAACTTCCCAGAGAACGCCGCTTGTGACTTTCAGTAATGTGGCAAAGAGCTTTCATCAGTGAGCCAAAGGTTCAATCACCAATTCTGTGATGGATGGTGAGTTAACAAGCATCTAAATGAAAATCTTTCCGATAATTACTTTAATTTATGTACGGTCAAACTTTACTTTATCTTTATAAATTTGCTTTAAGTCATTCTAATCTTTTGTCGAGGGTTCCGTTGCTGCTGCTGGAGCAGAAGATGCACTCCCTAAAGCAAATCCTTTCAATACAGGAAGTGGCCAATTGGAATATAGCAACACTTGTTGTATTTGTAGTTTAGCTGGTAGTGCTCATCTTTGTTTCTAAAAGGGCTTGATAACCCATTATATATGTTCCCCTTTGTTTTCAGTTAGTTTGATCAGTTTATGCTATAAGTTAGCATAGCACGAGTTCAGTTGTTTAGATGGCCTCTTTTATGGGCACAGAACTTCAAAACTAATTTGTTTAACATGTTGGTTTCATGTTTAGTTCAATAAATCCATACTTAAAAGCCACTTGTGACTCTTCATGCACACCAGCTCACACTCAACAGCATCACGGTTTCTACACTGTATTTCACTACATGTCCAGAGGTTGCTGTCTGTGTGAGAATAGTGCATCACTTCAGCAACACAAAGCTTTTACATCGACCACAAGGTGAGTACAGCAGATATATATATATATATTTTACATCAGTCTGTTGACATGAAATGTCAGCTTTGTATACAAGTGAAATCTCTAACACACTACAGTTAACAGTCATATACAGTAAGATATTTCCTGATACATGCTGGGATGTCAAAGTTAAGAGCACTTGAAAGAGTGTAATATCATTAGTGATGGAAACAAACCGGTGAGGTGTTGTTAGTTCATACATATGCACCACATATAGCATTTCAAATAAGAAAGGGACCAGAAGATAAGTCAGAGACAAGTGAGACAGAAACTAAAGTGAGGTCCAAGTCTGGATTACCTTCTGCCCAGGGACCCCAGAGCCATAAGAGTCCCCTAAAGGCCCAGCTGGACTGTCTGGCAGATGGGTGGTGGTCATTTGATTAACTGTAACTTTGTTTGGAGAAACAGTAATATTTGCTCCGCTGAAGCACGATTAGGTGGGTTCTATTTTATTAACTGATCCTTTGTCCAAATTGATTTTAAAGGGGTAGTCCACAAATTTAGCATTGCTCCTTCATTCCCATTCACTTTCATAAAGCTGTGGAAATAGTGAGAACGACTTTAAGAAAAGAAGGGCTGAGAAATGCTGACTTTTAACCCTTAACATGGAACTTTAAAAAGCTCCTTCTAGAGCCACAGAAAACATTACACAAGTGAATACGAGTAGGACTCAAACTAAACGTGACTCATTGTTCTTACATGGTGCAAATTTAGACATTTCTTTGTGTTCCAGATTATCACACAGCAAACCTGCAGTGATTGAATTACAGTAATATAAGACAGAGAGCAGGAGGAACTGGGGTGTTTACAGCAGCTCGTTTTGGACCTGGGCAGAAGTCAGTTTCCCCTCCAATTGTCTTGATATGCATTGATATATAATTCCCCATTTTAACAGAAGATCAGAGGGGCCTGGATGAGAAGGATGGGAGGGCAGAACAAGACATTGAAGGGCAACAAGATGTTGCATCAGTGATGATAATAATCAACACATTATGTTTAGTTAAGATGATAGTTGGACAGGTATTAGTTTGGTTGACAACATAGACAAATTGTTTAAAAAAGAGATTCCCAGAAAAAGGCACACGTCAATTTAGAAACTACTATAAGGCAAAGAACATACAGTCTTCAACCAGTGAGTGGTGTAGTCCGCTTGGCTCTTAACACGTAATGCTAAAAATAAAAAATAAAATATTGAATTTAAAAGAACAACAAAATAAAACAGGCTTGGACACCACTGAAAACCAAAAACACACCACTAGTAAAAGTAACTCTATTCAGATTTGTTTCAGCAGATACATCACAAAGTACTGTTTGGTTAATACAAGAAAGTGACTCAGTTCTTCGAAAACCTGCCAAAAGCCTACTCGCAGCCACACCACGATCATGCATAAATAAAGAGCGGTGCGGCGTGAAGGAGTAGCACAGTGCAGTGGGTCCTAGCTGTGGTAGAGGCGTACGTGCTGGGATATGTTGCTACGACACAGAGGGCAGTTCTGCAGAGCGCCGCTGCAGACCTGACAACAGCATACATGAGCACAGGGCAGGAAGATGACCTGAGACTGGAGACAGGGAGAGACCAGACACCATCAGTCGTGTTTCACATTTGAACTTCATTACTACAAACATCTTTAAGGCTTTTCTACAGTCACTGAGGGGCAATCCTCTGCATTTTAAAGAGATTTGAGGGTGGTACCTTTCTTAGCCTTTTAAAATCCAAAACACAAAAGCAGAAGCGTGAGGACTGGATTAAGTAGTGTGATTGTTACATTTCTGAGGTCACTATATAGTGGATTCATTCACTCGCTCTATATAGGAAGTAAGTAGAGCGTGGTTGCAGACACAGCGAGTGCGTTAGTTGCAACTTGTCTTACCCCAGTCTCCATGCAGACCACGCACTCTGAGCTCCCTGGTCCCTCCACAGGGCTGGGGGCTGAGGGGGTGACAGGGGTCCCTGGAGTGAGTGGTGGGCTGGGGATCTGGAAGGTGGAGGTGCTGGGAGGCGACTGAGGGGGGCTAGGGGACGGAGCCGTGGGGGCCACCTCAGCCTCCTCGTCCTGCTGGACAGCCTTACAGGCTCCTGGTGGAGGAGGAGACAGTGAGAGAACTGCAAACACATCCTACACCCTCCCCTTCTTTAAAGAGGTAGAAAAGAAGTTTTTGCAATAAATCCTCTTAAGCTCGGGCCCTATTTGTAGGCCTCTGCTTGAAAATGGCATACCCATACTAAGGAGACCACAGTTCTGTAACTACAAGGTCTATTTTAATAATTGTTGATGCTATAATCAGATAACACTTTGAAATTGTTCAGATGGGTAAATATTGTGTATATGTTGCTGGTTAATATAGTGCATGATATGATATTACACAGCTGAAATTGAAAATATTTAGGTTCACCTGAAAAAAAAAGCACTTTTATTGATATTATGTTTTTGAAATAATGCAGCTGGCTGGCTCAAACTCTCCCAAATCATAGCACAACCGATCAGTAGTTGTTGAATAAAGGTTAGCTGGGATAAAGTGAAGAATAAGAGGCTTTAGTACAGAGAGGTCACGCGAGGTCGTCATTTTCGAACCAGCTGTTGCAGCTCTTACATTGTACTTTTATATACTATATAACTATATATTTCACTTTTTTATCACTCATATTATTCAATACATCCAAATACAGCCGTTAGAAATCATTTTGACAGCAAGGGTCCCCTCAGAGCATGTTTCTGGCTGTCATCCATAGGATAGGATTTTCTCAGTTGATCTGTGTGTATGGGGCTGTAGCTCAGCCTATCATCGGTCGATTTCAGTCAATGAGTCTCAGGAAGGCGGGTGTCGAAGCGGGTGTTGATTTTCAGCGAGTAAAGTTGCAAGAAGTCTCCCCGAGCGTAAATTTCCGTTCGCCGGAAGTCTGACCGCTCGCCCATGGTGGATTGACCCCCCTTCCACAGGAAACAGTTCACAAGAAGACAGGATGCAGTTGCCAACAATGATTCTAGCTTTGAACCGGATAAATTTCGATGTTATTGTCCTAATTTTAGCTTGGTAGCCATTAGCTTTGTGGTCCAAAATCGATGTGCAGTTAAATATGAGGGTGATTTTTGGCCACAAATTCGTCCTTATATGCCACATTTTCTAGATGCTTATATTAGTAGTCTATAGTTGTGTTTGGAGTGTGTAAGAAGTGACTTATATGATAGTGTTGCCCATACGCTGCTGTTTAATCCGGTAAAAAAAAATGTACAAATCCAAAATATTGGCGAACAATAAGTCCATTTTCCGAACAATTTTTTCAGGGGGGCTGAGCCCGATAGCCCCCGAATTCGGGGGCGTCGTGTGCAAGAGGTGAATTCAATTTTCAATCACTTTTTTTGCTGTTGAAAGTTTAACAAAACTTTTCTTCTTTGATTTCAGTTCTGTAACTTCTGTAACCGGAGAGAATGTGAAATATCCCTTCTTTCATTGTAATCTTTTATATTATATAAATAAGTAATTAAAAAAGTAAATGACCTTGAAATTCGGCATTTATTTTGCCGTACAACTACAAATACTGAAACCATTATTAAATGTTGAAAATAAAGAAAAGGAAATAAATATATCAGGAACCAATATTATCAGCTAATATTAGCGAGGCACAGCTATATCAGAGTTTATCAGTCTCAAAACTGAGTCTGTTTGTGGCACAACGTCAATCTGCTGACAAGCTGATCATTTCAACAAGAGCAGACTCACTACTCTGATCACAGACATAACAGAAAGATGAGACTGGATTCTTTCAGCGTTTGTTGTCCACAGCTGCTTCATACTGAATCACAGTCTGCAGACATCTGAAGGCATCAGGACGCATATGATGATAAGTCTGTAGCCTCTGATTTGAAAAGTGCTGTGCTCGAGTGCAGTGGCATTACACACAGCCGTGCACCATGTATCATGATTAAATCAAATGTAACAGTACATAATAAGCACACATCAGACTGCTTCGTTAACTCAGTATTCTGCCTGTTTATGAGGCAGACATTGGATTACTGGAGTTCACTCATTCAGTACATCACAGCAATTAAAGAAAACAACTAATTCAGTGGTTCATGTGTTACTCTTGCATTATGAAGCAAACGCTGCTGTGTCATATTTTAAGACGGGATGTATCTATCTACGACGTGAGCTACAGAAGAAATATGACCAACAAAGCAGTGGATGAATGCAATCATATGAACAGCTGCACTAAACTATTTTCCATAATTTCTATCATTCTACTAACTAACTTGTCATAACCCCCCCACATCATCTGGCTCTAGCTGCAGATTAGAGCTGCCGTGTGTTGCTCCATCCACAGAACTACCAGAGTTCTTTTGTTGTGCTGTTGTTGCCGTGCATCACTATGATTAGTTCAGACGGTTCTGCAGCGAGACCAGCTATGTGATCGTTTCCACTTCATTGCAATGCAATACAACTGCTCTTTCATAAAGTTACTTTTATGATGCCTACATTGTCATAAATGTGTTAATTCGGTTATTATGTTTTAGCATTGAGGTCATAGTAAAACATTTGAAACCCCTCTATACTTAATGTAGTCCAGTACAAGCATTCACTCGGACCTTAATAATATACATAGTATTGACTTTTTGTGCTTGTGATTTTTCTTGCTTTAAAAACACACATTCTTTTCACTATAATTGTCGAATACATAAACATGTAGGATGTGTGTAATGTACCTTCAGGGTAGCGTTGAAGAGCCCAGTTCAGAAGAGCAGTTTGGATTCCTATTTCATTAATGCCAATCTGAAAAGAGAGAAATGAAAAATGCTGACTATTCTTCACATGAACTACGTAGTTAAACCTGCATGCATTTGTTTGGCCACTTGTTGGCAGCACAACAAGCTGTAAACACAGCACTGATATATTATCAGGTTCCTTGATTATCATTGTACAATAGGGTTGAACAACAAAATGCAGATTGTAGTCCCATTTTACTCAAGATAAACTCAGAACCTATATTCTATATGGAGGTTGGAGGATGAGTTAAGGAGTCTCACAGCCAGAGGAAAGAAGCTGTTCTGAAGTCTGGTGGTTCATCAGCTGATACTTCTGTATCTCTCTCCAGATAGCAGCAGGTGAACAGGTTGTGTCTGGGTGGGTTTAGTCTTTTAATATCCTTTGAGCTCTTCTCAGGCTCCTCTTCTCACCAATATCACTGATGCTCAGTAGACCAGTGATGTTCCTGGTGGTTTCTATCACCTGCTGTAGAGCCCTCCTGTCCTGGACCGTGAACATCCCATGTTAGTTTGTAATGTTTCCAGTCAGGATGCTTTCTATTGCTCCTCTGTAAAAGTTAACAAGAACTTGGCACAGGAATTTAGCCTTGTTAAGTTTCCTTCAGAAATACAGCTGTTTATGAGCTTTCTTCACCAGGATGGAGATGTGTGAGGACCATGTCAGCTTGTTTGTGATGCTGATTCTCAGGAACTTAAAGCTGTTAACTTGCTCCACCTCAGCTCCATTGATGTAGACAGGGGTGTGCGTCTTCACCTCCTTTTTTCTCAAATCAACAATCAGCTCCTTGGTTTTACTGACATTGAGCAGCAGGTTGTTCTCTGAGCTCCACTCTGAAGGTTGTTGATTTCCTCTCTATGTGAAGTCTCATTGTTGTTCGTAAAATAAGAAAAGCAATTCAGTTGAATTATCAGGCTAGTTTCATGATCCATCCATCTATTTTCTTCCGTTTTTGTGGAGCTGGGTCGCGGTGGCAGCAGGCTAAGGGGAGTATTCCAGACGTCCCTCTCCCCAGAAACATTTTCCAGCTGGGGGTTCCCGAGGCGTTCCCAGGCCAGACAAGATATATTATCCTTCCAGCATGTTCTGGGTCTACCCAGGGGCCTCTTAACACTAGGACATGCCAGGGAAAACTCTAAAGGGAGTCACCCAGGAGGCATTCTGATCAGATCCCCGAACCACCTAAGCTGGCCCCTTTAACCTGAAGGAGCAGCTGCTCCTCCGGATGTCTGAGCTCCTCACCCTATCTCTCAGGCTGAGCCCAGCCTCCCTACGGAGGAAATCCGTTTTGCCACTTCTATCTACGATCTCATTCTTTCAGTCACTACCCAAAGCTCATGACCATAGGTGAGAGTTGTGACTGTCATATTTGTATTGTGTTTTATCTGGTTGATTAGCATTACTAGTACCTGCACCGGTTCGTGAATTTCGTTCCCTTTCATGTACGACATCTTATCCTCATCCCTGGGGCAATGACTCACTCCCAACCCAGAGGGGGAGAACCATCACCACAGACTTGAACCAATTCACATGCATCTGTTTTGTGCTATTTCTGATCATAGTGGAGGGACTTTGAGCCAATAGGACTCTGTACCGATGCTGGTGCAGCAGCTCAAGCCAACACTGTAGACTGGTGACACTGTGTTGACAGCTGATGTTGAAACTTTTCTAGTCTTCCGACCACTCAAAGCTGCTTTAACACATCATATTGCCAACTGATAGTAATGTGCTAGCAATGATGTTGCAGACAGACCTTCTTGACGTCAGAGGTCGTCATGTGGCGAAGGGCCTCAGTTGTCACTCGATGATGAGCCAGGATGGGCAGGTAGTGCTGAGCCGACAGTTTGCATATCAGGTTGACCAACTCTTTCTCCACGCCCGCTTCCTGCAATGAGTTTACCGTTTAACAACAGGACAGTTTGGTTCTCAGATGTTTCTGTGTCCAGCTTGCACCGTACTGTACCTGCATGCGCAGTGACAGGGGCTTGGCATCCAACAGTCTCTGGTACTGGATCATCCAGTAGTTCTGCTGGTTGGACTCAGACTTCCGCTCCATCTCCGCCTGGAAAACACAAAGTGATTGATGGTCTCTTTTAGCCTCTTGACCCCGGAATGAGGAAGACAACATGTGTGTAAATGATTATCAGAAAGTAAATGTGAGCGGCCTCTGTAAACTTGTAACAGAAATCATGAGCCACTGCTGGACTCTAAAAGAGAAGTGAAAGGCCCACTGAGCAGCCGTTTCCTCACCAGAACCTGCCGCAGCTCCTGCTCTCTCTGGTCTCTCTGCTTCAGCAGCTGCTGCAACAAATCACTGAGAGCCGTTCGCTGCTCCACCAGAACCTCCTGTACGCGTACACACACATATTGACATGACAATACACTTATCAATAAATACTGTTGAAAGACTAAAAATAAATCACAAGCCTGCCTCTGAGATGATTGATATATTATTATCACTCAATCAAAGTCACATATTTAAAATCGTTTTGCATCTGTTTTTTATCTTAATGTGTGTAATGATAAATTGTTGACATGGAGCAATGACATGAAACTAGCCAAAATAAATGATATAGCAGAAAGAAAATCTAATAAATGCAAAAGGCGATGCCAGAAGGCGGTGACACCCACCTGCAGGTTCTCAGCATCCAGATTGCGTCTTTTAATCTCCAATCTAGTCAGCTGCATTAATTCACCCTCTATGAGCTTGATCTGGAGACAGTGGAGAAGCAAACATGAAGCTAGCAGGAGAAGGGACATGCTGCTGTACGCTTGTCTGTGGGTAATATTACATGGCTACCTGACTGCTAATTAGAACGTTTTGAAAAAGGCAGATGCTATTGGCATTCTGGTGTCAGAAGCCAACAATACTATTTGCATCTGAGCCGGGCCCGCATTAGATACTGTATGTGTATCTGTAGGCTGTGTATATTTGTCTTAAACCGAACCACACTGCCTATGAAAACTGAACATGATAATAATAATAATAATACAATAAATCAACCAAGTGTAACAATAGGCTTCTCACTGGACTCCAACTTAGGCGAAAGTCCTGAGTTTGACACATTAATTCACTACCTACACATACTTTGTTGCTCTTTATACTACTACTACTACTACTACTATCACTGTTACTACTACTACTAAATCTAAAGCCTTTCAGCTAGCTAACTATTGCTAAATGAAGTAGCATATTCAACTTGGCAAGGTGTGAATAGTCAAATATCTGCCGCGTGACTATTCTCACCCGGGTGTAAATAGACACTGCTTTTAAAAAAATGACTTGACCAGAATGAGTAAATATGAGGAGGCTATGGGTGAGCTATGGGTGGGCTATGGGTGGGCTGCAGGTGACATAAGAGAAAGGAAAAAGAACAGAACAGGAAAAAAATGACAATGCCAATGTCTTTCTTTTCATCTTTACCAGCGTCATTCTCTCTCATCTAACAGCCAGAGAGAAAAGTGAAAAGATGTGCGTGTGACCACTTACATCTTCAAACCAAGTTTGGATTTCCCTGAACCTACATTAACACATTTTTTTGGCAACTTGAGAGCAGTAAAACAAGCTGTAAACACAACATTGATATACATCACTTTTTAAGTTGACCTGGCTGTGTTAGCAGTTGTGTATTTATGCAACCAGTAGACACAGAGCAACATTAGCATTCAATCTAGGTTGTGTTTGTGTCCACCTGATGAATAGAAGTTCAATATTCACTCTCCTTTCAGCTCTGTTTTTGGCAACAGTTAAGTTGTGGGCTGGTAATCCGTACAGCTGAGTCGCGTGATAGTTCTCTGTTGGTACATCACTATGAGTCACACCTTTCACATTACATGTAATCATTTAATCAACTGGTAATATAAGAATAGTGACCACACGTCAAAGAAAACAAGTGGACCGCTGTTCTCCAAATAACCTCATCGTATAAACTGGAAGAGTTCACAGAAGGTCAGTGGCCATTCAATCCCAGTGTCTGATCATACCATTCTAAGTAAATTGACAATGAAATACATTTCTGGCATAAAGATCAATATTTATATTACATGTATCCTTGCTGTTTGTTTTGACAATTAATTGTGACAGCACTCCCTAAATCACTCTTCTCTCAAGGACGTCATTTAACGAAGAATGGGGACTTTTCAAAATCCTAATGCATTCTCCCTCACTTATAAAGTTTCAGTTGGATTCATTGACTAAAATACCTCTAAACAGTTCATCCACAAGTTCTAATAACTGTGGTACTTTAAAGTGCCATGTGCCTGTGGTTCATGCATTTTCTAATACGTAAATAATTCAGCGAAAAGAGACGTTTTAAAGCCTTTGTTCACCATCTGTGATGTGAACACATCAGCTAGAGAGATGAAAGGTGTGCGTCCTAGTCAGAGTTCAGTCTAACATGCTAGTGCACCACAGAGCGTCTGTCATGTGTGGCTGCTGACGGCTCCGTCAGCTGAACAGTCTGTCACAAACAACAGAGGAGCTTCTACCAGCTCCCGGGTCAGAAGTGGTTCCGCTGACTTAGCAGCATTCAGCAACAGAACAGAAAGCATTGGCACAGCAATGACCAAACACATAATTCATTCCTTAAAGAGAAGAGACGAGTAAGGTTCTGGAGATGCTGTATGATATTATTTTAGTTATTTCTTATATCTGATATGTCAGGGGACCCCAATTCATAATCTCTCAAGAATTCAGAGAATTTAGGAATTTAGGAACTTTAGAGCAGGCCCTCTAGTTCATTTTAATTATGGAAAGTCCTGAAGTATATATGAACTATGATTTTGAAAAGAAGCTGTCATACATTGAATGTGTTGTAATTCAGTTATCCTGTTCTACACATGACATCTATTGCACTTCTGTCCATCCTGATAGAGGATCCTCCTCTGTTGCTCTCCCTCAGGTCTCTTCCTCTTTTCTTTCTCCCTGTTAAAGGGTTTTTTGGGGGAGTTTTGTCTGTTCCGATGTGAGGGTTCCGGGACAAGAGGATGTCAAATGTGTACATATTGTAAATCCCTCTGAGGCAAATTTGTAATTTGGGGCTATACAAAAATAAATTGAATTGAATTGAATTGAACCAGGGTGTTTTGTAAACTGTGGGAGCTTATTGAATTTGTTTAACTGGCCTTAGAATGTCCGAGTCTATCTCTGCTGTACAGCTTTTCATGTGATGGTGAGCCCCATCACATCAGTATCATAAAAAAAAAAAACTGAGACCAGAGAAAGGTTTGACCCCCACCCCACCCATCTCCACCCGCCCACACAGACCTGGTTGCGGATGTAGCCGTGTACAGCGTCTTTCTGCAGCTGCAGGGCCTGGAACGCTGCCTTCTGCATCTCCTCCTGCAGAGAGCAATCAGAGGGAATGACAGGTCATGTGGTTGCTCAAAAAGTTCACACTGAGGTAGGTTTCTCCACCAAGCTCTCACAGCACTGGTGACAACTAAAGAAGACATACCCAGGCTCAACATACCTCCTGTAAGATGTGGGCGATGGCTTTAGATTTGTCTAAAACTTGGAGGGACAGCATCTTATCAAACTTCCTGTCCATATTCTCCATACTGTTATAAGACATGGGAGAGAGACAACACACTGAGTTTAGAACATGTTTCTCACAGCATCCAACTACTCAGATCTGGTGTGTGAGTGTGTGTGTGTGTGTGTGTGTGTGTGCGTGTGTGTGTGTGTGCATGTCTAACCTTCTGTAGGCTTCAGACACCAGGCTCTGTCTGCGGAAGTCACTGGCCTCCTGGAGGAGGTTCATAGCACAGCCGTCTGACAGCATCTTCTGCATCGCCACTGAAAACATAGTGCGGGAAGAGATGGGACAAACTCACTTCATCATTTTATCCTATTCGACAATTAAATCCTACACAGCTGTTCCCTTAAGTTAGCAGCTAATTGATTGATCCATATATTTGATTGTACATATGTAAATGAATGGAAATACTGGGAACTATTTACATTTGTGCATTATTAATGTAAACAGAAGCACTACAGCCATGACTCTATATTCAGAACACTGTGTAGGTAAAGTACATCAGCCAAGCTGCTTACCAGCCACCTCCTTCCTCCTCAGTGAGTTGGCTTCTTCCTGTGTGATGGCAGTCAGATGCTCCATACGAATCCTAAAGGAAATAGTAACACTATGTTGACTTTTGCTTCTCCTCTCTTTGTTCACATAGCCGACCGCTTGCCTTTTAGTGCATGTGAGCATGCCCCACTGGTTAGCTTACGGCCGCTGCTCTGCACTGACAACGTAGCCCCCCCCCCCCCCTCCGGTTCCAGAATCAGAGTCAGAAACGGTTTATTTCCAAGTATGTTACACATACAAGGAATTTGGCTAGGTGATTTGGTGCATAACAGTAAAACACAGTGCAATAGTATGACATCATTTAAAAATAGAAAATTTAAAAAAGTAGAATAAAATAGGGTGAACAAACAAACAAATATACAAGTATATTATTAAAGTGTCATGTGTATATATTAAAAGAGAAAAGACGTGCTACGGTGTGTAACAGTAAGACATTGTCCTGGGATGTATTCTGAGTCAGTGGGTGGCCCGGGCTTTGGTCCTGATGGACCGCAGCTGGTTTAAAGTCACATTTTTGTCTTTTGGTTTTGTTTCAGTCAGGATTGTGTCAGTGGAACTCAACTTAATTTGAGGCAATGTTTTTTTATTGTGCATTTTAGAAATCATTACATCTGTATTTTTTGAAAAGATTTTGACAATGCTCTGGAGCTATGGAAATGTTAGAATCACACAAGTCTAACAATCCTACAACCACCACTGGAATCTAATTCCACAAAAAGCAGAATATTCACTACCAAGCCTGCACCCAGTATAGACAACTGTATTGCTATGTGTTGGAGTGCCTCATGTGTTGTTGCTGTGATAGATCATGGATCACTGGTCTGTCCACTCACCGATCTTCCTCCATGGCTTGAAGAAACTCTGCACTTTTTTTCTGCCTGGAGAGATGAAAATGAATACACTGCAGTTAGCAGAGACGCATATAGCATCTATCATGTGACACAGATCCACTCACCACCTCTTCACAACAAAACAAATATTACTACACTACATAGCCACTTCCTTCAGGTCCTACCTGTTTTTGTCCATCAGCATGTTGCTGATGCGACTGCTGATGCCGTCTTCAGCTTGTCTGACTTTCTCCAGCACCAGCAGCCTCTCTGCCTCCTGGGCTCTCTGCTGCTGGCTGACCCCCAGCTCCAGACGCTCCTGCTCCTACACGTCAGATAGATTATACAAACAAACGCAGGTGAAATCAGCAAAAACAACTTAGAAATAGCTCACAAAACAGACACGAAAGAAAGAAACTCCCTAGTTATTGGCTTCTTCAGAGAGTTGGTGGGACCTGAAGCACAGGGGTGAACCGCTGTGTCATGAAAAAATATTTTTTATATAATAATAAAATAAATCACTTTTCAAAATAGTAATCAAAACATTTTTGAATATTATGCACATATTATGAATACTATAGAAATTAATAGATTGGGGATGCACTGATCCGACTTTTTGCGTCTTTGGTAAAGATAAAGAGGTATTTATTGTCATTGTAGTGATACAACGAAATTCCGTTAGGTAGCCCTCAGCAGCAGCGAACAACAACAACGATAAACAATGTACAAGATAAAAATACACAAAAGGAATAAAAACGTTACTAAAGTAATAAAAGCTGTATCAGCTGATACAGAGTACAGATCAATCAATCAATCAATCAATGAGCTGTATGCGTTACTAGGACACTTACAAATTGTTTTACTGACTGTTAAACAACATAGAACAACTAAATACATTGAAATACACTTCCTGAAATGTTATATAGTATTAAATAATAAATTGTACACCAACAACTTGTTAAGAAAATATTCAAAATTAATAGGAATTACAATTCAAGTGTAAATAATATAGCAAACCTAAAGAGGACGTAGAATCCCAGTATACAATACATGCAGTATAGAAACATTAGAAGTTGACTGCTGGTTGATTTTTTAAATATAATAATGAAAGTGTGGAGCAGGAAAAAGACGCCAGCCGATTAATCAGCTGATACCACTCCCCCACAAACAAAAGCAATCAATCTCAATGAACAATCCCCGACTGTATTACAGACTGGACTAACTGGTTAAACTGATCATCTAAGTAATACAACCTAAATAAATAGCCTATATAAATATGGAAATCATAGTAATTAATAAATAAATCCTAGATGAGCATCTTTAATTTTCTTTAAAGACAGAAGTGAAAGGTTTCTGACTGCCCCATCAGCTGGAGTTGATCACATGTTTTACTTCTGTCCGCTATCTTTGCATTGACTCTCTGAATCCAATCCTTAGTAAGAGAACATCCTGTGTGATTTGATGGATTACATCATTGGAATATGTTCTGTGGCTGATGACTGGCCAGGAAACCATTCATGTTGGTACATATTCCCGAGATAAGGAGCATACTATAGCGGGATTTCCTTTCATTTCATGAATAGTTGATGGCTGACAGACTGTTAAATTGGTCAACAAGTTAAAGGTGACAGTTGAATTATTTATTTTCCTACCCGTATGCTTGTCTTGTATGGTGGACAAAGAGCTGATAGTGCTGCGTTATATATTGAGAAATAACATCTGTGGGGACAAATAAACTGAAAGCAGGTCAGATATGACATAATAACCTCTTGTGTGCTCGCAACAAAATCAGCTGTTCACTGACACCACAAAGGTTTAGCTCCATCACCAGAAAGAATCATGTGCGTTTATGAAGTGGAGGAAAAATGATCTCTGATGTAGTTTACATTGAAAAACGTAATTCAAAGTCATGCATTTATGGCTGGAGTGCTGGTGCTGTACTGTACAATGAACTCTATAATGACGCAATGCCACAATGTCCCCACAGCTCACTGTTCCTATGTTGAAAGACATTGTAGTTGACAGTTGAGTTTCAAAACAACAACAGTGAGCTTGGAAGATTATTTAGCATAACAATACATCGACGTAGTGACATACAAAGACAAAGCTCCATCAAAGAATTGATAAAATGCATATCTATCCAACACTGCTGCGAGTGAGCACGTGAGACGTATCTCGATACTACCGTAGTACCTGTCGGACTGAGTGGAGGATGTTTTCCTTGCGGGAGGTGTTCATGAGTGTGAGCTGGGTGTGCTCTTTTTTCTTCTCCTCTAGGTGGCACTCAAAGGCCAGCTTTGCCTGCTGCTTCTGCTCCTGATGGACAGAGGTATAAGTCAGAGGGCCCTATTCAAACCATCTATAGCGCAAGTGCATTTAGGGCGTGCCCAGCTCTACTTATGCAAGTCAAACTGTGCATAATCTGGGTGCAAAGTGAGGCGCAAGAGGCAAAGGTGTTGTATTTAGTCTCTTAATTAATCATAAGTGTGCTCTGAGCAAAACATGTTTGAAACCAATCAGAGTGTCATCTCCCATTCCCTTTAAAAGCCATGTGCACCCTCTGCCTCCCCAGCCTTCCAATCTTCTGTCCCATTAACAACTCCATTTGACAGCATATGAGCTAATGCACCGATACCCTATTTAACTGTGGAAGAGTGCTGCTGTGTGTGTAACAAGCAGAGTGTGCACGTGTTTACATAGCAGGAAAATACGGCACCATTGACTTTAGAGCAGGGTTCTATTGGGCAATGGTGCACTCACTCTCTGCTGCCTCGAGATAGCAGTGTGCCAACAATGCTCCTGACGATACCTCATTTTAAGACCAACACAGATGGGCGCAAGTACATTTGCTACTTACACTATGACAGCTGGGTTGGTCTGAAACTAGCAATGACACTTGCATTGTTTGCCATTGAAAAATACAAATGAAAATCAATCAATAACAAGCTAAAGAAATTTGTCCTTACTTGTTAACCTGCACAGTTTTCATATGAACTATGGTTATGGACAACAACGTCTTTTTAAAGGAAGCTGTGAAATATATTTAAAGGCATGAATGAGCTAAACAAGATTATGCTGTAAGGGACTGACAGACACTTTTAGTAATCGGACAAAAAAAGCCATCTTCATGGGACTTTACCACTGCATGTCAGTCGGCTGTTTAAGGCAAAATACCCGCTTTGGCATCACGGACTGGGTCTGGTCTGAAATGCAGCATCCTTGCAACAAGACTCAGTGAGCACTGCAGTAATAGTTGAATGTCTTCTGTGATTCAGTACAGAAAACGATCCGTCTCTTTAGCTGCTAAATGCCCCACTGTGTTCAACAGCTAGTCTCTGAATGAGTCTGTCTGCTGTTTGCTGCTGAGCAGAAAGTGCTGCTGCTGCAAACGACGCTGATGAGAACGGTGAAGTTCCAAACCTTAAAACCAAAACAATGAGCTGAAGAAATGCTTAAAACACCTCAGTGGAGCGGAGGGGTACTCCAGAGTTGGTGATAATTATCTGTGGGTTTCTCACTTTCACAATTCAAAAGGAAATGTGTGCAGCCGAGAGCCCCTAGTCACTGGAGTTCCATACCTTTCTCTTCTCGTAGTCACTGAATTTGTTCTGCAACAGAAAGTGAGGAAAGATTGAATGAGACTTTCAGTGTCATCAACAGAAACAATTAACAAGTTCCAAGTGAACAGCACTACAGTCATAAAAGTGACTTTCTACTCTTGTGTAGGGACGTGTGTTCGTGTGTCACCTGCTGTACCTGCCAAGCCTCCTCCAGGCCATCCACACAGTCAGAGTTCTGTTTGCCACACTCGTTCTCCAGCACCGGCAGGAGATACTGGGATGGAGGGCAGTACTCCTCTCCCAGCTCTGAAAACCACATCAACCAAGATATCTAACTAGTCTCCTGTACAGTCTTATATATTGATCATGTGAATACCATGAATTCTTTGGATTTTCATCCTCTTACTATCACTGAATGGTTACATGCCCCTCTGTAGTTACACGTTTCAGTGAAGTCTTAAACCCGAGAGAAGCCGGTTTAATGTAGCTGTAGTGTTTGTGCTACACAAACTCCACTGTCAATTAAACACTATTGAAACTACAAGACATACATAACTGCATGGTAGTGATGAGTGTGTGCGTGTGTGTGTGTGCGTGAGTAGCATGAAGTAAACACTCACCAGTGCATAGGAAGCGCTGGATGCTCTCTGTGCCCTCTGTACACACAGATGCAGGCGGGTAGGACATCATAGCAGCGTCAAGGGTAAAGCTCTGTCATAGAACACACACAGGGTTTGTTTAAAAGTTTGGATCCTTCCTGCATTCCCGATAGTTTGAATCCCGAGACACACACCTCTAGGGTGCGGATGTAGACCAGAGCTTTGGGGAGCTGGACGATGTTGTTGTCACTCAGGTCCAGGGTGCGCAGGCTGCTCAAAAAACCGACCGAGGACGGCAGCTCACTGAGACAGTTACCTATACAGATAAACAGTGATGTAGGAAAACATAAGCTATGTTATTTGACCTGTACATCTTCTCTAATTCTTGGGAGGAAGCAGGAGGCAGCATACTCTTCAAACTGAGTGTCTGCAGAAGACGCAAATCCCCGATGGATTCCGGCAGGGCCTTTAGGTGGTTCTTCTCCACATTCAGAATCTGACAGGACACAAAATGGACACGCACGGATGATGAGTAGCATTCATTGACACTTATTTCCCATGTAGTTCAGAATGGCTTTACCTGCAGTGATGCCAGCTTCCCAATGTCTTCTGGGAGTGAAGTGAGCTTGTTCTCATGCAGATCCAAAACCTTTAGAAGCGGACAGATTCAGTTATTCTTTTTTGTGATGAAGCGTTTAGGCTTCTAGCGGAAATTCTGGTCTTTTGGGAAACCATCATAAATCAGTCATTGTCAGATGGGATGCCCTGTGTCTTTATATTCTCTGCTTATGCAGTGACAGAAAAGCCAACCTCACACTGCTTCAGAACCGCCACTTTGACCAACTAGCCATCTCCACAAAGTTTTTTAAATCATATCACGCTGTAATATGAGTTTAATAGTCACTTAAATTTCCCATCATGCTTGTGTCTAGTTTACATTACCTTTAAAGTGGCAAGAGTGCTGATGTCACATCCTTTGGGCAGAAATGACTTCAGCTCATTGTTATGGAGGATGAGGACCTGAAGAAGAGCATCAGAGGTCTGACTGCTGACTGTTCAGCCAGGGACAAGTACAAATACTGACACAGTGGTATTGTATACGTATTGGTAATACAGTATTTGACACATCAATAGAATAAAAAATAAATATACTAGGTCTCCATGCTTACCTTCTTTTGTAGCACCTTGCAAATGGAAAAGGCACTCGAGGGAACCTGTGACAGAACAAACCAGTGATGTCTCCATCTGCAGTGCAAACCACACACTAATAATACAGACTTAATACTACTCAATACAGAATTTTACAAACAAATATTAAGAGTGAGAGAGGAGTGGGGGGGCATAACTGAAACTGGGGCACCTGTTATTTGGTAATAGGCCTTTTTTACAAAAGACATTTTGATATGTCACAGTAGGACAATCACAGATGTAGGTAACAAAATGACTGATGACTGTCAATCCTCCCATCTTGCTCTCAGAAATAAAGGGGAAAATTAAAAAAAGGATATGAATAAAAATCCCCAAACTGTTGAACTATTCCTTGAAGATAACTTAATATTGCCTTTAAGTTACTAAACCTGGCTTTCAAACATTTGAACATTTGTTGTTCTATTAATAGACTTTTTGTCACCAATAGTCATCAGTGAAGCTTGCCTCACACTGTTGACAGTAACATCCTCACCTCTGAGAGTTCACAAGCTGAGATGTCCAGGATGTCATCAGCACCAGCCTCCTTAGACTGAGGAACGAGGAACAACAGTTATTGGGTTTGGTTAGAATAGACATTCGTTCTTTCAGACAGCAAAGGCACATAATGTTATCTTAACAAAGACAATACTTCCACATTGGGGCGCTGAATTTTTGATGAATAACTCATAATCACACAAAAATTGCTGCAGGTTGTCCCAGTAACATCATGTTACATCAAGCTGTGAGCACATTGTAACTACAGGTAGGGCTGCCCCTTTAAGGTCATGATTCAGATCATCTGGAGATGACCCCCTCAGTCGACTCTTCAAGTTGAGGAGTCTATGAAGTAAATCAATTTATCACAAAGACATTGGTTGTATGGAGATGAATGGTGATGACACGGCAAAAATGTCACACCCACAAAGCATGGTTAACGAGACGGGCTCCGTTTTTCTTTACGGGTTTGGGTGGTTTGCTGTCAACGAGGATGGTCCATCTGGTTGACAAAGGCGCTGGGAGCAGGGGGCCCCGTCACAGCCCACATGGAGAGAGGTGCAGCAAGCATTAAGTCCATGGCCCTGGGAATCTGCAAGGTAGTGGCGAGGGGTATGCCCACGGAGCCTCGGTGCTCCCCTAGAGTCAGGAGCAGTGCGTGCGTGATCCAGTGGTCTATACACTGTGAACCCAAACACAGCCTACTGAGAGAGAGCACAATTATTTTTGTCTGTCAAAAGACAGCAGGGAGAGGCACGAAGAAAAATCTGTTTGTAAGTCTCTCTCTCTCGTTGACCATCCTTTTTACTTCCCTGTTCCCTTCTAATAAGGCAAGAAGTTCTACTTACAACCACCAAAAGCAGTCGATCTCCACCGCTCCCTTTGTCTCAGTACTCTGGACAGCACCGCCTTGACATAAGCCTCCCCTACAACAAAGAGCGCTGTCCATGGTCCTGACACAACAGCTAAGTCACATCGTGTATCCCTATATGTCCCCTCGTGGCATTGTATGTTTACGCGGATATCATTGTGAAGCTTGACATAAAGCGTAATAAGTTTGAATGTGTGATGTTTAACACAGATGCAGACCCCACCTTATGTTCTGTTCATTATGAAACTGTGACGAGTTGCATTTGACTATGTTAACGTGGTTAAAAATCCTCACGGAGACTTATGCTAATGGCCTTTCTGATTGCTAGACACATTGCCAAAACAAAAGGAATGAATAGTTGAATCTTCATATTAAACAGCCAAATCCAATTTGAATGCAAACATTCTGGTACAGTCCTAATTAGAGGACTAAGATGCATGATATGGTGTTGAACGATAATCTCGTCTTATCGCCCAAGCCTACTTGGAAGAAGCCTCATCGATATCTCTATGTTAGGATCCCTGTCTGCTCCTAGTTTGTGCTCCTCTGTTTTTCCCCCTGTCTGTTTTGTTATTGTGGGCCATGTGCTTATGTTTTGTTTTTGTGTCAGCCTACAGTTTCCACCCCCGTGCTCCGCCCACTTCACGCCTCTCTCCTTAGGCTCAGCTGTGGCTCATTCCAGTGATCGCCGCTGGCTGACTTAAATACCTCGGCATTTCACTGGCGCGTCGTCAGTCCGTCCAGTTACCAGTCTGGTCACGTAAGTCTGAACACCGATTCAGTGAAGATCGTTACCTGTTTGTTTTCTGTTCCTTCAGTCTTGAGTGCGGTCGAGTTTCCCTCCCGACTCCGCAGGCTACCTGTCCCGGCCTCGGTTGAGCTTCCCTCTCGACTCCGGTGGAGATTATAGGCGTGACTTTAATTTGCTGGACAGTTAGTCTTTGTTTTTTGTTTGTTCATTCTGTGACTCCTCCTGCACAGTTAAATAAAGTCTTGGCTGGAGTAAACCTGCTGTGTGCGTGCATTTGGGTCCACTAACTACACTACCACATAACACTCTAGCTGTGGTCTCTGAGGTAGTTAAGAAGCTCCTCAGCGGCAAGGTGCCAGGTGTGGGTGAAAGTAATCCCCTCCAAGTCTGAGGCCACGGTTCTCTGCCAGAACTGTGGTGACGAGTGAGTGGAGCCAGAAGACGAAGCTTTTGATTTATGTCTCAAGCCTCGGCTATGACTATGAGCTTTGGGTAGTGGTTGACAGAATGACATTATGGCTACAAGCAGCCAAAATTTCTTTCCTCCGTAGGGTGGCTGGGCTCACCCCTTAGTGGTAGGGTGGGAAGTTCAGACATCCAAGGGGAACTCTGAGTAGAGCCCCTGCTCCTTTGCTTCAAAACGAACCAATTGATGTGGTTCGGGCATCTGATCAGGATCCTGGGCACCTTTCTTTGGAGGTTTTTAGGGCACGTACCACTGGTAGGAGATCCAGAGGTGTACCCAGAGCAGGATAGAGAGATTACATATCTCATCTGGTTTAGGAACGCCCCGGGGTCCCCCAAGAGGAACTGGTAGACATTGCTGGGGAGAAGGACATTTGGACGACCTTGCTTAGCTTGCTGCCACTGCGACCCCGCCAAAGATAAGCAGCAGAAACAAGACAGACAGATGGATGGATGGACAGACATATTAATATAAACACACTCGTCTCACCCTGCACAGCTGATATTCCAGTCTCTTCTGGGAGTCCTCGCTGGGTTTCCTCTTTCTGAAGAACAGAGGCATCCTGAGTTGTGCCTGTCCTACCGTCTCTCTGCCTGCTGGGTTTCCCTCCTGTCCCTCCACTACAACAAGAGCCACTCCAGATAACAGATGGACAGGTTGGAAGGCACTGACAGAGCCTGCACTCTGAAAAGTAAGAACATTTGAACTAATCAGATGGAGCAATATAGCTTGAACTCATATTGCAATAACCCCTTAGAACTTCCACAATACCCCATATGATGAATGGAAACTATAAATAAATGTGGAAATTGTACATTAAAGCTGACTGAATACATTTTTGTTGGTCACTTGGAGACTTGTGGAACAAAAAACACAAGACCAACTTAACCTTAAAAAGTTGTTATGGTCAATGTGTTAGCCCTTTACTGTATTTTTACCCATTCAGCAAATGCAGAGCAACCTTCATTTGGCCACCTGATTAATGTAAGTCCAATATCTAAGCTGTTTATGGTCTCCACCAACTCCTGAGAAAAATATCTGGCTCTTTCGTAGCTAAATGCTCCAATATGTTCACCAGCTAGTGGCTAACTTTGACTGTCAGCTGTTCGGTAGTGTACAGTGTTTTTAGCTGAAAGCAGCTGCCTGCTACTGTACATCTGGAAACAAACTTGATGAGAGTGAAGTTTGAGGTCTGGGAATCCAAGACAATTAGCTAAAAAAGGCAAAACATCTCAGTACCGCTGAGTCCGGTGATCATTTAGGTGGGGTTGTTACGACGAGTGACACCTTTACACACAGTCATTTGAACCATTGTTACAAATATAAAAAATAATTAAAGCTGCGAGCAGCATTGATCGGGCCCTCGCAACTTCATGCACGTCGAGGGTACTAGCAGGACTCTGGCCATGCATTTCTGTGACCGTCTTACACTGCGTGCACAAGTTAAATTTTATTTCCTGGTACTGGCAGGATTCTGGGTGACGCGGCCATGAATTTCTGTGACCATCACACTCTGCGTGCACGAGTGAGATATTTCCTGCGTAGACTAGCAGCGTAGCAAGATCACCCTTTCAATAAGTTCAGTGTTTGGGCCGCTGTAATTATAGAATCCTGCTTACGTCCGTGCTTATTAGTAGGTGGCGCTATGACAATGAGTTAATATTGGCATGCAGAAGTCCTAAAGCCATGACAGTCAACAAGCATGTCAAGTTTGGGACAGTTTTGACAAAGTACAGTCGAGTTACAACAGCTTGATGGATTCGAGCATTTCTAGCCTCTCAAAATTACCTTCGTTTTTCACAGCGAAGACTGCGTCGCCACGGCAATGGCATTCAACGAAACATCAAAAGCTTCATGAACTGGCATTATGAACTTGTTATATTTGCGTGGAACTAATTTGATGTTAATCTGATTTACCTACTAAGATAAACAAGCCAAAGTATAAAGCCTTTAACTTCCTGTTACCAGTAGGTGGCGCTATGACTATGATTCAAAATTGGCCTGCAGATGTCTTCAGGCCTGGAATCTAATCAAACATGTGAAATCTGGTAAAGATCTGATGATGTGGAGTCGAGTTACATCAGTTTATTCGTTCATGGCGAAGGATCGAAATTCGCCGAGCCGCCACGTTGCTGCCCTTCAACAACGTCTTACGATTTTCACAATGAAGCATTACCAAGGTCTTAAGGCTTTTCTGACAACATTTTAGAGGGATCTGATTAATCTGTGAGGAGCAGGATGTCAAAGTACAAAATGTACAACTTCCAGTTGTCACTAGGTGGCGCTATTACTATGATTCTAAATTGTCTTATAGATGTGTTCCGGGTCAGGATGTTATGACATATGAGAGATTTGGAGCAGATTCGACAATGTATGCCCGAGTTACAACCACTTCCTGTTTCGCGGCGAATGGTGTTTTTTGACGCCACGCCACGGACACAGAGTTCGATAACTTTTTGATCTTTGAGTAACTTTTCACTGCCAAGGTCTCAAGAGCATACTGACCGAATCTGAAGTCAATCGGGTTAAATCTCTGGGAGGAGTTCGTTAAAGTATGACGCCTTGAAATGGTCAAAAAACGTCATAAAAGTCAAAATGGCCGAATTCCTGTTTGGTTTAATGAAAAACTCCAAGAGGATTTTTTGTGCGTCTCACCACGTTCCACATACCTACCAAATTTCATACAGCTAGGTGAAACCTGATGTTGGGGCTACTCAATAGGGGGCGCTATCGAGCCAATATTTCATACCGCAGCTGGACACCCCAATCAGACTGCAATTTTCGCAAATTCTGGCTTGCGTGCCAAATTTCACAAAATTCCCAGTATCCCAAGCACCTCCTTTTTGCGATGAAAGTGGAAAAGTAATAATAATAATAAACATTAGAATAACAATAGGTCCTCCGCTCCGACTACGTCGGTGCTCCGGCCCTAATGATTGGTACTACAGCTTGAAATTATTTAAATGTTTTAGAAAACAAATGTTCTTTCCTAAGGGAAACTGTGTTCTTGTTCTGCCTAATTTCTGATAAGGCCTCATTTGAGGACTATTTCAGTATGTTTCAGCCTGCTCTATTTAAAAAAATAAGAGTTTTATACATGTGCAAATCTACATATAGGCCATATTCTATTGAGCCCTTGTTATCCCCCCCTGAAACATACTACTATATGGAAGTCAGTATTATAACCCCAAACTCCAGTAGAAAAGTCAAAGTCCATCATTTTAGTCTAAAACAAGTTCGGGCATCAGAAGCTGATTTCATACCCAATGTGTGTGAGGAGACACAGGTAATACACAACAAAAAATATGATTTTTCCCACGATTGACAGCAGTCCGCCTACCATACCCATGAGCCACTTGTTTGTCCCATGTATCTACCGGAGATGGCAGCCAGTAATAGAGGATCATCTACTAGATGTCACGTGTCTAGGGTGATCCTGACTATCGCCCTGGTGTTTAAGACACTTTCCTCTCCTTATCTTATCAACGACAAGAAAAAGAAGAAAGAAAAATGTGTGGATATATAATAACACACCCAGGACCAGGAAGTCTGCATTGGTTTTCTTTTTGAGCGGCAACTCTAACGTTTGTGAACCCAACCCAGTAACTCATTCATTCATCTTAAACTATTATTTCAGTGATGTAACTGATGACGGAATCTGTGTAAGTAACATGGAGGCGCGCGACATTAACGTAAAGTACGTAGCTAACGTTTCTTAACAGCAAAACAAGTACACATTTTGCAAAAAGCAACACTTTGGGCCATATGACAACCGCTGTCAGGCTATCCATGTAGCTCTTAATAGCAACGATATGAATATTAGCCCGCTGTAGGAAGGTTAGCTAGCTCACTTCACACCAATAAGGCTAGCTAAATGTTATACCACATAATGTTAGCTTAGCCAGATGACAACTTGGCCCTCTGGCTGACGTTATAGTTAGCGAACACAAGCTAACAAAGCTATCATGTAGCATAACAACAACCCACATGCTATAACAACACAGTTAAACTAAAGCCAGGAGTTTAACTTGACTCACGGGCCGTGTGTTGATGTTTCGCTGATCCTCACTCTTCCGGTTAACGTTATCTGAAGAGCCAGAGGGGGAGTTCAGATGTAGACTGTTTACAAGAGGCGTTGAACATTAGCGTTACGTTAACGTTAGCTTGTGATTAGCCAAGTCAGTCGTAGAAACCGGAAATATTATGTCGGTGACTTGCCTAGTTCAAAAAGATGATGATGATCACTCTTCCTCAACGAAGGCTACTTATCGACATCATAACAAATAACGGCATTCTTCTTCTGTGGTGTTTAACGGCAGCTTGCATCCTTTGTGTTGCATTACTGCCATCTTCCGGTTTCAGTCAGTGTATATGTTCCCAACTACTAAACTTTCCCCATCAGTGTCGTTGCTCGCAAGAAGTTTGTAAAGTACCTTCTTCCCAGATTACTAGATCCCTACCCTATTATATTATTCAACTCTCTTCCTCTCATCCCTAGTCTTTGCATTTCTCCCAGCATGCCCCTCCTTTCTGAGCTGTGTCTAATACAGGAGGTGATAACATGTTGTACAGTTTCTGGTGCCTGGCACAGAGACCGGTTGGATGCTTCCCTATCATGTGTAGTGTGCTGCGTAGATTGCTGTGCCCTATTCTTAATCTTGATATTGGAACCTCTTCTCTCCTGTTTCCTCCCCTGTATTTTACACTGCTCACTTTACTCTGAATTGAATGTAGGTGTCTCCCCCTCGTCTCCTGGTCCCAATGTTGTTGCCATACTTTGTTGATATTTTTCCTGATGATGCCCTTTCCCTCTGCTTTGGATAACTTGATACATATGTCTACTTTGTTTTTCTTTAGTGCTTGTTTGGCTAGTTTGTCCACTTTTTCATTTCCTCTGATACCTACCTACATGTGCCAAATAACAGCATTCGATTCTCTTCTTCTTTTGGTAATGAGTGGATTCACTAGCTAGAAGATGCATGTCGCCCTCTACAGAATGGAGTGTGTAGTATCAAAGGTATTTTATTTACAGTGGATTTCAGTATGATATAATTTATACAGTATGTATCGGAAACACATCATTTCACGTGTCGCAAAGATTCTGGTGTGTAAATGTAAGTTCAGCTTTCTGGAAGACTATTTATGAAGTTCACCTTCAGGGCTTTCTGCCAGAAGGGTGTATTTGAACCCCTAACATGAGCTTGTCCTCAACCTAACTGAGTAGGTTTGCTGCCTAGACCTGAGGCCTCGAAGGAACACTTCTCCAATGTGCGAGCAGCACGACACATGAACTTCTACTATAGTGTTGTTGCAACTAATTGAATGATACTGTTTTCACAATTTAGGCATGACCTTGTGTTACAGGTCACAGCATGAATGAGCCTTGATAACAGATTTATGCCTGAGAAAAACAGGAAATAATAAGACAGGCAAACATGTGGTTTCTTCATTCAGCGTCTTCTCAAGCTATTTTATTTCACACTTCTTCAAGTGAAAACAATCTCCTGTATATGTTTTTCCATTTCTACATGACAAAACACAGGAAAAATACATTATATTGTACTAAACAAAATAATCAAAGTTTACACTGCTATCATTACATTAACAAGTTACATTACTATGTTTAATCAACATATCTGTTGTCGCTTGGGATAAAACCCTTCCTAACTGCACTTTGGCAATGTGCCCACAGCCACTGTGGCGTAGGTGAGGAAGACACCATTCCAAATGGCGGCGCTGCTTCACCAGTACAGCGAACCGCTAACAAATGCTAACAAACATTCACAACACTTATATACATATTACAGTCACATTAATTAACATATTTAGTGTGAATCGACCTACCAGAAATAAAGAGTCAATTCATTTCATTATAAAGAAAAAGTACATTGTATAGGAGCCAGATAAATACAAGGGATGTAATACAGGGCTACTATCAGCTTAGCTAGCACTTGACAGTCAGTCTTAACTCACGTAGCTACCAAACAACAACTACATAAAAACACAAAATACTCTATAAAATGTTAAGTACACATTGGTCCCCAATTCATATGTCATCTTTGGTGCACTTTACATGTTACTAACCTGAGAAAAACAGGAAATAATAAGACAGGCAAAGTGTGGCTTCTACATTCGCGCACATACAAGTCTCGGGTCGCGAGGCGGAACCACAGAGCTGCACTGCCATCTACTGGGCATAGATAGAAATACACTTCTAAAGGAAGTTTTATTATGATTAGAAAATCACAGAAATTCGTTCATGAATCAAATATTCCTCAAATAACAAAAATGTGACCATACATTTTGTGTGCGTCATACTTGCTGTATATAAATTTGTTAGTTTTAGTGTTTAAGCAAACCACACTATGTCCAATGCAGATGCTCAAACTCATGTCACGTTATAGTGAAGCTAACCCACCTATGGTCTAACTCTGTTAGTAATACATGCACATGAAACCATGGGAGCATAGCAGAACACACTCACATACAGCTTCATTAACATTGCAGGGGCATGACTTAGCATGAGATTCAGGTCCATTATCCATCACCTTTAGGACGTTAATATAATGGATGTCTGTCCTATATTTTCTACAGCATTCATTCCTGCATCTTAGCAGTTTGTCCACCAGAGGTCACATTCTACAAATGTGTGTTGGTATCTCAGAGTGCACGGTGGGAAACATACAATATGACTGCATGTGGTAATGATTACAATCTCGGTTTTCTTTGTGCCTTACTGACTTAGCGACAGCATGTCAATAAAAAAAATAAGTAAGTACCCTCTCCAAGCTTTTACAGCTAAGCAAACTCATACAGGTAAATGGGTTTGGATGTGGCTTTAAGCTAGACCACACCTTAATGTTTTATAGTCACATCAGCTGTTTCCCCAGTGCTTTGTCATTCCTGCCCATTAACTCAACAGATTAGTTCCCCAACGTCTTCATACAAGCCTATTCTGGTTAACAAGACTATGAACATAAGCACACAACCTCTGAGACTCTGGATCCTTGAGCAGCCCTGTCCCAGAGAGCAAAACTCTGCTGTGCTTATACACAGCTCTGCAGGTGTGATGTAGGATTGTGGTTCCAGCTACAGGCTCAGTTAGACAACAAGAGGCACACAGCGCTGACTATATAACCACATCATTAAAGAGGATGACAGGGACCTGACATTGTGGTAAGAACAGTTTTCCCCTGAGCACCCCTTTGGAGTCTCCCTGAACTGTAACCCTAAATGCAATAGTGTATCATTAGATGTGCATATGTATGCGTATTAATAGAGAATTTGTCATCAACTTTAACTTTAATCCGATGTCACAGCATTACGTTATTAAGACTAAAATAAGAGTAAACTAAACACTAACTTCATCTTATTACACTCAGTGGGTCTTCAATTGACATAATAGGGTGAAAAAAGCATGGAAAATCAAATTCTAATGCTAGAAAAACAAATCATCGCTGTTCTTGCAGCTCCAAACGCTCTGATCGTGACCCATTTTGAACATTCTAAAGTAGGCAAAACTCTCCCCAGTATCATGCTTTATCCTGGCAGGAGGCGGGAGCCCCGCCCCCTTCACCACGTCAGAGAAGGAGTAGTTACACATCCGTTTAAATGAGTGAAGCTGAAGATAACTCCCCTCTGTTCTCTGCTCGCGGGGTCGCAGCTCTGTTCAGGAACAAAGACAGCAGCTGGAACGTTCCAGAGACCAGTCGGTGGTCAGAGAGGTGACGCTCTGTCAGAGCTTTGTAAATGGAAAAGAGAAGAGGACTTGGCTTTCCTCAACACAGACAAACCGGCGCGAGAAGGACGTAGCAGCGGAGAAGTTCCGGCTCTCTGTGTGTCATCTGGCGCTTCTCTGTACTTCGCTGAGGGCGACAGAGAACCGCCGCGGAGCGTCAACACTTCAGGCTCACAGCAGCGAGGTGAGCGGAATGTCACTCCACAGGTCACCGCAGCGCGAGGAGTAATAGACCGACAGCCTTCTGGTGGCTTAGCATAGCATACTACAAAGGACAATAGTAGAAATAATGATAAGATAATGAGTAAAAAATAAAAAGTGAGAGAAAAATGCTTTTAAGCTAACATGACATTAAGCTGGTTTGAGTCATGATATTTTCATTATCAAAATACTTGTCAACAACAATTGTATTATTAATATTACAGCAGTTTCTGTTATTAATCGTTATAACCTAGTAGTAGTAGGCTAGTGGCTGTAGGAGGAGGATTCAATTAAAATATAGTGAAATAAGTAGTTCCTCTCTTTTTGTGCATACCTTACTCTCCTCATCTGATCAAACATGAGTTCATGCAGATTAGAAACTTACGAAATATAAGTTTTTTTTGCTGTGCATGCAGGATGCTTTGCTTTGTATGAGTCCACAGCACTAAAAGGGCATCTTTATAAATTAACTGGTTCTTCCGCAAGAAAACACTTCACTACCGGAGCTCGTGCCGCTGGTGTTAATTAAGAAGAGAAGGGTTTGAATGAAGCCGCATGTCCTTCTCAAGAGAACAAACCCAGAATGTGCCTCATTCTATGTGCTACTCTCTACAGTACAGTACTGGAGAGTCCAGTCGTGGATGACCTGGGGTTATTTGTTAATTATTCCTCGGATGAGGAGTGTGTGTGTGTTGACTGGGTGGGGATCCGTGATCTAGTTAGTGTTTGTCTATGATTGAAGGAAGGAGGTCATCATTCCTGGAAAAAACGCCTGGTACAACGAAGTGGTTTCAGCTTCACCTCTCAGCATCTCTTGGGCTGTGAATTAGATAGTAAAGTGTGACCCAATCGGGCCTAAATTTCAGGAAATCAAAGTGGACCAGTGATGATTCTCAAGAATGATCAGTCAAGCCTTTGAACTCATTTTAAAGCAGACGTTTTGCATATCTCTGTGTCCATCTTCAAACACCAATCAGTTCTAGTTAGAACAAATTGAAAACGAATGCAATTACCCAGAGCTCAAAAGAAAGTCTTCATAATGCTGCAAATGCTATGCAAAAGATATTCAGTTTACACAGATATAAAACAGAGAAATCCTCACATTTGAGTAACTGGCTCCATTAGATGTATATGTTTTTGATTTTAGGTTGATGATTAACTTATTATCAAAACATGCATGCGTAATGTTGCTGTTGACTAATCAATTAGCTGTCCCTCTTTTTCAGTCCTTTTCTTAATATATGTATAAAAGTAATTGTCTGCATCCTGGAAATACAAACCCCTTCATGCCTAAAGACTCCGAGAGACCGTAATTATTTACTCAACGTGATAAATGATTAGATAGCCAGCACTACAGGATCACTCATA